GCCTGATGGCTCCCAGATTGAGCAGGAGCTAGAGTCAGGCAAGCGCCTGAAGTGCTGTTACAGGGCAATGTACGCCAGGGTAGATGACTCGGAGGCGCAGGGTTGTGGGAACCAGAATTGCATCTTTTCCCATGACTTCAGGTTCTGGGCAAGGAAAGGTATTACGCCTCAGAAGCTCAAGGATGCAGCAGCCGGTAAGTGACGGCCGCTGAAGCCAAGGAAGCGAAGGCGGAGCGAGGCGGTGGGTGCAGAGGAGGATGGCGACGGGCCGGAGGCGGAAGAGGAGGAGGCAAGGGAGGAGGAGAAGATGGAGGAGGTGGAGATGGAGGAAGAGAAGGAGAGGGAAGAGGAGGGCCAGGCTCATCTGGATTCAGGGGACGCGGAGGACGTTTACTTCGAAGGACGGATGTGGGCGCTGGCACAGGCGCTGGACAGTGCCGTCGGCGACTACCCGACGGCCAAGGTCGCGTCCTTCTTTTCAGGCGCGATCGACGGTTTCGTTCGCGCAGGCGAAGCCCTCGGGAAGGTTGAGCAAAAAGCACGATGTGATAGCGATACGGACGTGCAGTACTTTTGGAGGAAAAACCGTGAGAAGGGCGCCCAGCGATTTGACTGGGACGACATCAAGAGTGTTCCGCAGGTGGCCCTTTGGGAGGTCATGCGGATTATTGATATCTTGACGGTGTCGCCACCATGCGGCGATTGGAGCAGGACCGGGAGGCAGCTCCGGGACAAGGTCCCCAGGGGGGCCTTGTTTCTACAATGGCCAGATTTGCTGTTGTCAGGACCAGCCAAACCGACAGTGGTTTTACTGGAGTTTATTTATTTACCAGACGACAGTTTGTACATGGCAGCGGTGGCCAAGCTACTGCGGAAGATGCGGAAGCTGGGCTACGATTGCCCGCCGATCGCAGAATGCGCAGTTAACGCTGCGGCTATCGGCGGTGAGGACCGTGTCCGGCTCATTGTGCCCTTTAGGCTGCACGAATTCGCCGGCAAGCACCAGGTAGCCCTGGCCAGCACAGCCGGGGTGACTGCCGAGCCAGCAACCATGGAAGATTATTTCGTGCCAGTGCACGACAGGGC